AAACCCCCCCTTGTGGGCTGTTTGCATGGTCTTGTTGTAGTTAAGCCTTGATTGTAGTTGGTATTACTGGGAGGAATTGACCTCCAAGCCAATTGGCTGTGAGAATCAGCTGTGTCTGCAGTGGGAGAACTGCTGTGCTGGAGACATCCCTCTGGGGCTAGACTTGCTTCGGTGGGGCTTTGGTGCTCACCTGAGTCTGCTCCTGAGTGTGTCTTTTATGGTTCCACGGAGTTGCAAACTGGATGGTCCCAATCTGACCTCTGGTTTTCCTGGCTCCTGGATCTCTAGGGAGGTGCTAATCTCGACTTTGCCTGAGGCTATCCAGCAAAAGTCTCCCTGCAGGGCTTGGGCGGGGCGGGTCCCAGGGGATCAACAGGGTGGGGCTAGAAGTTATGGCTGCTCTTAGTCTTGCCCTCAAAGGCTTTGCTTCTCAGTGTCCCAGTAATCGCAAGCCCCACAGAGAGAAAGCTGCCCTAGGGTTCTGAGCGATGCCACACAGTCCCGCTTCTCCTGTATGAGTCTGGGTCCCTAGAGACTCACACGGATCTGGAGCTCAGAGCTTGAGACTCCCTTCCGATTGAAAACAACAACCACGCCCTCAGCCGCCAGCCGGCTCCACATGCACTCCGCACCTTAGTATTTTACTTCAGCACTGAGCCTCCTCTGAGTCTCGGTATGTTTTTCTCTTCCTAGTTGTAGAACTTCCACTCAGCCAGCCTTCCTGTGGTTCTGGATGATGTCCATCCCGTCTTATAGTTGTATTTTTGAAGTGGTTGTTCGAGGCAGCAAACTCCAGTGTTTACCTATGCCGCCATCTTGGTTTTTTCTCATAAATTGTTTATTTATAGAGTTTTCCATTTAATATTTTTGGAGTGCTATTGACAGTGGATAAGTGAAACCATAGAAAGCAAAATCATGGGTAAAGGAGACTACTGTAAATGAATATTGGTGTTATTTATGTCAAATTAATAGTGAAGGCCCATAGTATTAATGCAAAGTACACAATGTTCAAAAAATCTCCAGGTGAGTCAATATACTTTTAAATTCTTTCCCTTTTCTCCATTTCATAGGAGGCTGTAGTGGTTAAGAGCTTAGAATAGAGAATTAAACAGACCTGGGTTTCAATGCCATCTCTACCATATGCCAATTTTATATCCTTAGGCAAGTTATACAGCCCTTTATATTTCTATTCCTCCTTCTTCTGTAAAATAGGGAAAAAAAATCTTCTTC